GGGGGAGCCTCGCTGTCGTTCCCTCCTCCCATTCCCCTCAGCAGCTACGCACTTCTTAAATCTGCTCTTTCCTCCAGCTCCTACTTCTGTCTCCCAGGAGGCCCTTTCCCACCCCCTGCTTTAGCCCCCCTCTCCCCCCACCGGTGACTCTTCCTCCACCCGTGAGGTGAACTCCACCATAGCCCTTTGGGCTCTGGCTTCCTAGGCGCACCTGCATTTTAAACACCCAGGACCTTCGGTTTGGGGGCCAAATTTTGACGTGGCGTTTTCCATTTCTGCAAAATAACTCTAGAAATAATAATCACACACAAAACAAGAAGCTTCCCCCTGCGTCATAAAAATGACTGTGAGTCAGCTTATCTGCTAGATTTATCCAGGACTTCTATGTCTCCATCCACTAAACATTTTTGCCCTCTCCTTCATTTCCCCATTATATGTTCTTTATAATCTTATTTTAAAATTTTTGTTGGGGGGAGGAGGGCAGAGATAGATGGTCTTTTGTGAGGTATGATGGTCAAGTTCTGACTTTGGTTCTGGGATTCACATCATGAGTGTGTGCATCATTTTATAACCCTACCCAAATCGCTGCCCTTTTTGAAGTTTCAGTTTCCTCTCTGAATTAGGTGTCCCTAAAGAGAGGTGTAGGTAACTTCCCACTGCAACTTTGTTGAATTCGGGGCAACCTACGGGTCCATCACTGGGGGAATAATAAGAAAAATATGATGTATGTTTAAGATGGCCCACTAGAGAATGAATTAGATCTATATACAGCTACATGGCTGGATCTCCCAAAAAACAGGATGTTGAGTGAAAAAAGAAACAAAAAGATTTATAGTACAATATTATTTATGTAAATTAAAACACACAACAATACTACATATTTTTCACAGATACACATATATGTAAATAAACTCATGGAGGGTGGATTCAAAGGACATACGTTAAATACATGAGAGTGGGTGCCTGTGTGAGAAGGATACAATGATATTGGGGATGGGTGATGGAGGGGACAAAATGAAACCAAAAGAATAAAGGGCCTCTCGTGGACCAATGATGATATAGTGTGCCAAGAACTATGGACTACAGTCAACTCAATTCTGTGCACTTGAGAGAATAAATAAATGGATAGTAAATTTAGTGCCCAGGGAGCAGGCTGGCTGGGGAGACTTCCCAGGCTTTTTTTTTTTTTTTTTTTTTGCCTTCCCCACCTTTCTGACATCTCTCCCTCTGAATTTAGTCAGAGATAACCAAAGTCCCTGCTACTTACAGTGGAGCCTTAGGAAGGGCTCCTAACCCATACTGAGCAGTCTCCACAGAAGCCATTAATTTGAGTGCAAGGAGGATGACATTTCCTAACTGCATCAGGTTTCCCTGCATTTGATCCCCAATTCTAAGTCCACATTCTTAGATGGTAGTGCAATTTCAAAAACACCTTTTAAGAGTTTTGAGAAGGACCCTGGCTTGGAATAGTACCTGGGGCTCCAGGCTTTTGGGAGAAGATGGGGTTCTCGAGTACCCTTTCCCTCTACTCAATGCTCACAGCCTAGGCTGAGGGAGGACGATCTTAGGAATCTACCCTCTTGCTACATACATATGTGCAGCTTCCATGTTCTATTTCCCAACCACTCTATTTCCTGTTGTAGGCACAGACTCTGGTTCTTCTCCTCTCAGCTAAGTGTGTGTGTGTGTGTGTGTGTGTGTGTGTGTGTATGTGCATGCACTGTATGTGTCTTCACATAAAGGCATTTGCTCAGTGTGCACCAGGCAAGTTTTCCTCAGGGGTGCCTCCCCAAAGCAAGTCACACAGACACACACTGTCTCACTCAATCCTACATCCCACAGGTGGTCACGCAGACAGGACACAGACACAGACACACAGTCAGAAAGAGAAAACATCCAATATAGCATTGTTCATTTCAGTTTTTCCATTTACAAAATCCAATGGTGAATCCAGGCAGTTAGAAAAAAGAAATGGAAGAAAACCCTCCTGAATGCACCCTATCTACCCCCCACCCCCTTGGTCTTCCCACCCCACCCCTTTGGAAAGGCACCCCCATCACTATCACTGAGAGAACAGGTCCCCCACTGCCAGCCTCTCAGCCACTCTGGCCTGCCTTTCCAGGGCCACCCCACAGCCAGGATTGTTAATGTCTCTCCTGCCTAGAGTGCCCTCCCAATTCCATTTAAATCAAGGCTTCCCCAGTTCTGGGGTTGTGTTGGGGTACGGAGGGAACTTAGGACAGGGGCTTCTAAAGGGAAGGGGAAGTAGGTGGATAAATACAGCTGCCTGTCCCCCATTTCCTGGGAAATGAAAGTGGGACAGAGGATCTGGGCAAGACTAGGCAAAGGAGTGCCAGCTTGGCTCACCAGTCCACAGAACTGGCCTTGAAGTAAGCCCAGAGTGTACCCTGACCCTGGGAGGAGGGCTTGGGATCTTCCAACTGGGGAATCTGGTGGCAGTCTGCTCCACATTGGGTGTAGATAAGGGCGGAGGGAGGGAGGAGGAGGGTTGTTGGGAGGAAGGACGTGAGAGGCTAAGAGCCCAGAGCCCAAGGTCTGCCAAGAAGGGGCTGGAGGGGGACAAAAAGAGGTCAGCTAGGAATGGACTCGAGTCCACAGTGCCTTGGAATTGGTACCACTATCAGTTACCAAGGCCCTAAAAGAATTTATACCTTCAGAAGAGTAGTGAATCCAGGAGAGATTTGGGGTTTGAATTCACCTAGCCTGGGCCCACCCAGAGGCCTCTCTTCCTACTCTCTTGGCTTTTCAAACAGATGCTCAAGAAACACTGAATGGTCTGGAAATGGTGGGAAGGGAGAGGAGACTGGGCTCAGGACCAGGGTTAGCCTAAAACAATGCTGTACCCAACATAGCAATTAAATATCCCCACTCCCTGGGAACCCAGCACCCCCTTGTCAGCAGCCTTGGATTAGTGTCTCCCCTAAATATCCAGGCCTTGCTAAAGGACTTGGAAGGGGAAGGTACTAGGGAGCAGAGGGGGCAATAAGAGCTCTGGAAGTCTATTTTACAGGACAAATTCCCCCTTTTGGGCAATGTCAGGAAAGACATTAAAGCAAGAAAGCCTGTCTCCTTAGCTGTTAGTAGAAAAACCTACATTTTCAGTTTTGTTTTCTTTTTCTGAATGAGAGAGAGGAGAATGAAATTGTAGAAGTGGAGAAGGAGGCAGTGGAGACAGGCTCCACAAAACTAAAAATGCCTCTTTCCCAGTCGCCCACCCTGGGGAAGTGTTGGCAAAGGTGCCTAGATTATGGGTGCTTTGATGGGCTGGAGCTGGAGCTCAGAAAGGAAAGCTCCTGTATGGGGCCCGACCTCTCCCTTGCAGTTGGCCCCATCGTGGTGGCCACAACCTTCTCCCTGCCTGTTTGCCTACCAGCCTGCTTTACATGACACAGTAGGGTTCTCTGGGAGCCGGGGCACCTCCTGTGCCCCAGCAGGGGGCATGAGTCCTCAGGCACTTCTTGAGGTCCTTATTCAGTAGGAAGCAGACGATCGGGTTGACAGCAGCCTGGGCAAAGCTCATCCAAACAGCAGTGGCCAGGTAGCGATGGGGCACAGCACAGGCCTTCACAAATACTCGCCAGTAGCAGGCCACAATGTAGGGTGACCAGAGGAGCAGGAATAGCAGTGTGATTGCGTAGAACATGCGGCCTAGCTGCTTTTCACCCTTGACCTCGTCCATGCCCAGCAGCCGCCGGCTGGCTGCGTGCCCATTCTGCCGGATACCCAGCAGGGTTGGTGGCATGGGCCCACGGCCAAAGCCAGCGATCCAGTTGGCAGCAGCCTGGCCAGTGGCCCCGGGGCCATGGAATGTCCAGTTCTGGCTGATGGCTGGTACCATCTGCACTGGCTTCATCTTGCGGTGCCGATATTCAAAGAGGAGCAGCTTGCCGTAGACAGCATGTGTGGCTGCCATGAGTACAGCCAACATAAGCATGAAGCCCAGTGTGTCATTGGCCTTGAAGTAGCGATGCTCAAAGATGCACTGGTCCTCCTCCCGGATGAACTTGTAGGTGCCCACGTCAAAGACGGGTGGGAAGGCCATGGCCACAGACAGGGTCCAGGCCATGCAGATGACAGCTGCGCATGTCCAGAGTGTCATGCGCTTGGCGTAGAAGCGGTGGTGGGCGATGGCCATGTAGCGGGTGACGCTGATGCAGAACAGCATGAAGGCTGCATGGAAGCAGAAGAGCACAGCCATAAAGGCCACAATCTTGCAGCTGAGCGCACTGAAGGTCCATGAGGAGCCGTGGCGCACAGAAGCCAGTACAAAGGGGAAACAGACAGCAGAACGTATGCCACCGGCTAGGCACAGGTCCAGCAGAAAGTAGTAAGGAGCCTTGTGCAGGGCACGCTCCTTAAGCACCAGCAGGGACAAGATGGCGTTGCCTGCCAGGCTCACGCACATGATCAATCCCAGCAGTACCAACTTCACATAAGCTGATGCTGATGGCGGGGACAGTGCGCCGCTCACCTCCTGAGGCTCTCCAGTGGTGTTGGCCATACTGAGGGTCAGGGGCTACTCCCAACCCTATGGGGCCAGCCAGTCTGATATTCGATGGGCCTTGGGGGACTCCATCAGTTGTCCTGCTGAGCTGCACCTACGGATGGGGACAATGGGAGAGACACAGACACAGAGAGACAGAGAGATGAAGATAGGAGAAAGAGAGAAACACATACAGACACACAGAAACAGAGTGGAAAGACAAAACAAAGATAGAAAATTGGCAACAACAATATAAATGGATAGAAATTAACACAGGAATCGAGAGAATTAGAGTAAAGAGAGGGAGAAAGGAAAGAGAGAGTGTGAAAAACAAATCAAAAGAAAAGGTGAAGGAGAAACAGAAATGACAGGATTAGTGTGTCTATGAGCCCTTCCTCTTATTTCCTCCCCTGGCCCAATCCTACTCCTATTCCCTCCTTGCTGGATGTAAATGTTTCATGCTTCATCTCTCTGGATTTCCTTGGTTACTTATTTCCTCCATTGGTGAGTTTGTGGGGTGAAGATGTTGGCGTGGTTCTTTTTCCACTTTGCAAAGCCCTAGGGCTGTGACTGCTACCCATTGTAAAAAATACACTTTACATCACAAGCCAGTACACACATACACACACACAATTTGGTCAAAAGTGATACCAAACAGTACTGATCCTATGTGTAATGTACTGTATTTTTTACTACTCTATTTTATATTTTTTGTTTTTTAATTTTTTATTTTAAAGAATTATTTATTTAATTTTATTTATTCATTCATTTATTTTAATTTGGCCAGATAGAAACACAGAGAAAGAGAGGAAGTGAGAAAGCAAGCCACCAGATTCAGGACTCGAACCGTGGTCAGTCATGTGGGAGTGTCCAGTGCCTTATCCACCATACCACCTGCTGGTCCCATTTTTTGTGTTTTTTTAAAAAATTATTTTATTTGACTTTACTTATTTATTTATTCATTTAGTTTCATTTGACCAGAAAGGGACAGAATGAGAGAGAGAGAGAGAGGGAAAGTGAGAAAACAAGTAACCAGGTCTGGGACTTGAATCGTGGTCAACCATGTGGTAGTCTAGCACCCTTAGCCACCACTCCACCTGCTGGGTCCATGTGTTTTTTTTTTTTTTTTTTCAATTCCTAGTAGCCACTCATTAAATAGATTTCTTTATTCATGGTCAGGAATGTGCTTAGCATGCTCAAGAAACAGCAGGAAGATTTAGTGTGTCCAGAATGGTGCAACAGAGGGAGATAGTGGTAGGAAGTGAGGTCACAGTGATGTCCAGGGCCAACTTATATAAGGCTGTGGACCATGATAAGGACTTTGGCTTTTATTCTGGGTGAGATAGGGAGTATATGTGAATATGAAGATGTAGGTATGCTTGTGCATATTCATTCATTCATTGAAAAAAATTATTGAGCATCTATTATGTACCAGGCACTGTTCTAGGTATTGAGGACACAGTGGTAAAACACAGAGAGAGGTCCCTGCCCTTGCAGAGCTGACATTCTAGATAATAAGGAAGAGACACAGTGTGCCAGATAATTACAAATTCCTAAGAAGAAACACAAAGGAGGGAAGGGGAACAGGAGATGCTAAGGGTGGAGGAGGTATTGCAGTTTTAAATGAGGTGGACAGGGAAGGCTTCACTGAAGAGGTGTCCTTCTGCAGGAGGTGAGAGAGTGAGCCATGTGGATATTTGGGAGAAGTCTAGGCAGGGGAAACAGCCAGGGCAAAGGTGCTCTGGGGTGAGACTATATGTGGCATGTTTGAGAAAAAGCAAGAAAACCACTGCGATGAAACAGAATGACCAAGGGGAAAGTGGTAGGAGGTGAGGTCAGAAAGACAGCTAAGTCAGATCATGGAGGCCATGGAAAGGACTTTGAATAATGTGAAAATTGTGAGAGAATTTTGAGAAGTGGCCAGACATAATATGACTTCGGCTTGAACAGGATACTGCTCACTGCAGTGAGGAGGACACATCACCCGGGGAAAGACAGAAATAGGGAGCCTAGTCAGGAAGCCCTTGCAGGTATCCAGGTGAGAGATAATTGCACCTCCAAGTCTCCCCCTCCTTCTTTACTTTTGCACCCAGAATTTCTCTCTTCTAATATACTCTATAGTTTATTTTAAAATTTGGTTGCATGCCTCCCTCATCCCATTAAAAGAAAAGCTTATAAAAGGGTCAGGTTTACAGACTCACTCAATCTCCTCTAGAAGAGCACTACATAGTACACAGTTGACTCTCAGGGAAAATGTCTCAAATTAATTGACCAAGGAACTAATGGACTAGTAGGTCAGAGATGGCTCCCTGGAGCATCAAGGTAGGATTTGTAGCAAGAATGTCCTCGGAAATGCATCTGGCAGTGGGAGCAGACAGCAAAGCCTTGTGGGAAATAGGAAACCTGCTCTATGCTACAGGCAGTGTGGACATGTGAAAAGGTAACAGTAGGTGCCAGTGGGAAGGCAGCCAGGCAACTCGGACAGAAACTAGAGGAGCTCAAGCTTACTGTTGGATTCGGGCCAGATGGTGGCACAGCAGTAAAACGTGACACTATACAGGGCAACATGAGAAGGTTTCTGGTTTATAGCCGGAGGCCTTCCAGAGTATACCAGGCACACATGCACACTCATGATCTGGGGCTGGCTGAGGGGAGAGGGTGAATCATGATAGTTAGAGACACTTCACTATCTCATTCACAGAATAAATAAAATAATAATTTATTTATTTTTAAAGAGTTTTTTACCTTAGGTTGTGTGTGTTTGCTGGAGAGAGAGAGAGACAGAAGGAAAGTGAGAAATCACCCCTAGGAGGATAGTCATGCTGCAAGCCCTTCTCTTCCATTCTCCTCCTGGAATCTCGGGCACACATGCATACATACTAGGCATGAATTTCAAGCTACTGGGTAGCTGGGACTGGGACTCAAACCCCATTCAGCCATGTGGGAGTCCAGCGATGAATCACTATGCCACCGGCTGGGGGCACAAAAAGATTTTTTTTAAAAAAAG